GGAACAAGACAAGGGTGCTCACTCTTGCCACTCTTATTCAACATAATACTGGAGGTTTTGGCTAGAGAAATTAGACAAGAAAAAGAAAAAAAGGGAACTACATTGGAAAGGAAGAAGTAGAACACTGGCTGTTTGTGGATGACATGATTTTATATATAGAACACCCTAAAGAATCCACCAGAAAACTAGTAGAAATAATCAACAACTACAGCAAAATTGCAGAGTACAAAATCAACTTACAAATGTCAGTTGCATTTTTATACACTAATAATGAACTAGTGGAAAGAGAAGTCAAGAACACAATCCAATTTGCAATAACAATAAGAAGAATAAAATATCTAGGAATAAATTTAACCAAGGAGGTGAAAGACCTATACACTGAAAACTATAAGACATTATTGGAAGAAACGGAAGATGATGTAAAGAAATGGAAAGATATTCCATGCTCATGGATAGGAAGAATAAACATAGTTAAAATGTCCTTATTTCCTAAAGCAATCCACAGATTTAATCCAATACATCAGAATCCCAATGACATTCTTCGTGGAAGTAGAACAAAGAATCTTAAAATTTATATGGAACAACAAAAGACCCCGAATAGCTAAAGTAATCCTGAGAAAAAAAGAGCAAAGCTGGATGCATCACAATCCCTGACTTCAAAATACACTACAATGCTATAGTAATCAAAACAGCGTGGTACTGGCCCAAAAACAGACACATTGATCAATGGAACAGAATTGAAAGCCCAGAAATAAAATCACACATCTATGAGCAGCTAATCTTTGACAAAGGAGCCAAGAACATACAATGGAGAAAGGAAAGTCTCTTCAATAAATGGTGCTGGGAAGACTGGACAGCCACATGCAAAAGAATGAAAGTAGACCATTACCTTATACCATACACAAATTAACTCAAAATGGATTAAATATTAGAATATAAGACCTGAAACCATAAAACTCCTAGAAGAAAATATAGGCGGTACACTCTTTGACATTGGTCTTAGCAGCATCTTTTTGAAGGTTATTTTTAGATGATCAAGGCATATGTTTAGCATGGAAAAAACACTACAATCTAAAGATCTTAAATAATTTTATAAAGAAAAATGAGTTAAATGAGATTAGTAAGGATGGACTCTAGAAAAGGGAGAACCAAAAATCAAAGAATGTTTATACATTCATTCACTCAAGAAATATGTATTGATCACTTACTATGTGCCAGACACTGTAGGCACAAAGACGCATAGTCCCCCTGCCTTCCAGGAGTATTCAAACAAAGGCAAACATCAAATTATCACTTAATCTTTGAAGGAAATAAACCATGATATAAAGGTAAAAGGAAACTTTTTGTAGAAAGAAAGAGAGAGAAATATTCATACTGTGAGTTAACGCCTGAAAAGAGACTAGACATAGGAAGCTTAAGAAGAAAAGTGTTTGAAGTAGAAAAATCATGAGACAAGAAACAGCTCATGTGACTGGTGCAAAGTCGGGGAAAAGAGAGACTAGTAAAAAGTGAAGCTAAGGAGATTATCAATGGAAAATCATTCAGAACCTTGTCAGTTGTGAAGAGGAATGTGGATTTTAATCTGTTGCAATGGAAAGGCACTGAAAGTTTTTAGGAACAAAAGTAGCATCATCTGATTTACTAAATCAAACAAACAAAAAACCCTTAATAGTCACAGTGGAGGATTGATCAAGGGGAATAAGAGGGCAAGCAAGAGGAACAATTAGGTTATTGCTGACATTCGTATGAGAAAATTTGTCGCCTGGACAAGGAAATGGAGATAAATTATTGGATATTTCTACCACTATAACAAAAAGAGAGTCGCCTGATCAGCTAACATGTCATGATTATTGTATGTAGTCTGTTCAGTAGATAGATTCTTATACAAAAAATAAATTCATTGGGCTCACATACTTGGTGATAGTATCTATCACTGACATAGGATTAATTCTCTTCTACCTGATTTGTATTCAACGAGTGACTTTCTGATTGATTCCTAAATTAAAACTTTATTTTACTTCCCAGAGAGTGTTAATTCAAAGATGAGAATATTCTAATTCTTCCAAAAGTGACATTACTTTTTGCAACCTTTTAAACCAGTATTTTGAAGTATACATAAGCTTTTGTTGAGATGCTTAGAATTACCCAACGGTACTGAATCTTATCATCTCTCAGTAAACTATTGCTAACTTCATACTGCATTAACTTCAAAAAGTAAATGTCTTGTACTAAATAACAAGTCATTTTAGCAATATCTATACAATACTATATGCTTTAGATCATTGGTAATAACCACTGAACATACGAGAAAATCTTTATCATTAGATTGATATTGATCTACTTTTCTGTAGCTTAGACAATATTTATATATTTTGAAACAATAGTGTAAATATGGCATTAAAGGTAGCTCTATGGTAGTGGACAATATACTAAACAATGAGCCAGAAGCACCCAATTCAAGTTTGATATCTTCAACTTGCTGAATATGAGGGCTTGTTTGTATGTTTAACCACTTTGGGCTACAATTAATTCTTCTGTAAAAAGAAAATATTAAATATGATGAAGATTAATATCTCATTAACCTCTTAAGTCCCATGTCTTGTATAATGTGAAATATGATCCATTAGTACAAGAAAGAAATAACAAAGCCCACAAGGAGAAAAGCAGAGATTTGGCCACGTCAGAATCCATGTTAATTTTACATGAATGGGCTAGCCAGTTAGTTATCAGCCATAGATTGCTCTTTTTTCCAAAAACACCTTCATTTACCTACTCATCCAGTCAGAACTATCATTTTCAAGAGAGTAAAATGTATAAGAATAGCTACCACAAATATGTAGATGCATGAAATTAATTTTGGCCTTATAGGAATTAAAAACAAACAAGATAAAAATCCATAGACAGGAAGTGCTGGAAAATTAACTATCAAATATTAACTAAAAGAAACAAGGCACTACAATCCACTCTTCCATTAATTTCTAATTTATTTAATCAAATTTAATCCAATACCCAGTGCACTGCAACAAGTTCATGAATTTAGCAATTATTTAAAGAAATATATTTTGTTTCTAATATGATCACTAGGGCATTCAACAAATATTGAGTATCTACTATATGCTAGGTTCTGTGCTAAATAATGCCAATTATCCTCACTCCAGTGGAAAAGTCAGACAAATAAATGAGGAAGATGATAGCTTGTCATAAATAATTTGAAGGAAATAATCATGGTGCTATGAAAAGTGAATAATATGCGGATTCCAGGCATCCTCTTATATGACGTTGATATCCGAGAAACTGATTGACTAGATATATATTAATTTGATAAAGTATAATATTCCTACGCTTTCATGTTAATGATGAGATGAAATAGTTAAAATCATTCTACCTTTTAAGCTGTCATGTAACATAACTATCCAGATTAACCTAAACACAGAACTTTAAATATTATCTATTAATTTGCTCAGTTAAGTAAACATTTATTGGTTGTCTCCTTTGGCCAGAGGATGAATCTCAGAGTTCATTTAATTCAATTTCTTCAATACATATATATTTTTTAAAGATATATTAAGTAAAGATATTTTTAAAAGTAGATTACTTTTCTAGAGATACTCAGTAAGTGGTAAAACAAGACAAGGAATCCAAGTCTTCTTGAAATATGGTAAGTTTTGTTTTTTGATTATGTGCAGTTTTTAAAACAATTACTGCTATTCAAAGAATGACCAACTGAAAAGCATTTGTACTTAGCTTTCAAGGGATTCATTCAAAAACTGAGTTAATTAAAATTGTGTGAACCTTCTCAGGACACAAATATTCATGGGCAGAATCAATGATATTCCTTGTGAGACTTCTGAAAGTCTGTAATTTAAATCAGAAAAACAAGATCTGAAAACAGACAGGTACAGTAATAACGTATGGAAATAAATTTAACAGTTCTTTATTTTCACTGAATGTAAATAGGCTTGTCTACTAAAGAGTAAAGAGAAAAGAGATTTTTTTTCACTGTGTCATCATTTGAGAAGGTCGGAAGATAATGCCATACTCTTCCAGTTAAATAGAGAATTACAGGATAATTGATATGTTAATTGCAGGTGGAATTTAATTAAAGAGAAAACGTTTGTGAGAAGGAGTAAGAAGATCTTCTTGGCATGTAGTTTAGTCATTGAGAAAATTAAGAGTAAAGTAAGGCTTTCAGAATAAATATCCGAGAGAGTTTTGGGGAGAGGTTAAGATTCAAGGAACGAACATTTTGATCTTGGTTGATAGTAAATAAAAACCACTACAAAGATCTAAAAGCATAAGTTTTAATTTTAAAAGATTCCATTAAATAAAAATACACACAGATTTACTTTTCCTTTCCAGTCTTCCAATCCAAGTCCCCATGTAAATGGTCATGGGGAGGGGATGGTGAGACGGATGACAGAAAAACAGATGTACCACATGACCTACCTGTCTTTCTCACTTGAACTTACTGTTAAGATATGGAAAACGTGTTAAGAAAAAAATGGTGGGTGGCCTTATGCCTCTAGTAGCCATCTCTTTAGATTTCCCACCTTCATCTTTTTAGAACCCTTATTATGACTGAAGGAAACTCAACTTAACCTAGTTAATAACGCTTCCCTACCAGAAGCTGGCCAGGGTTATGAGAGAATTCCAGAAACAGCTGATTCTCCTGTTCCTCTGGTACTCAAACACCACTCTCTCTGCTCTTCTCTAGCCCTTTGCAAGAGTCTGGGTTTACTGTTGACATTTCTATGTCGTTTCATTTCGATGCAGGGTCAAAGAGACGGAGTCATATCCTAAAGACCTTTCTTTAACTAAATTGTGCATTTTCCTGGGAGGGAACAAAGGAGGGTTCATCCAGCGCAACTGTGCTACCTAGTCCACAAAAGCCTCTGACTCTTCTTAGCTCTTAGCCCTGAAGCTTCCTTTCTGCAACTCCCTCCAGTCGCGGTTTAGGCTCTGCATCAGTCGCTCACTGCTTTTTTTTTTTTTTTTTTAAGGGTGAAGCGCTAAGCACCGCCTACCGTCATGAATGGTCTGTCACTCTGTCCCTCTGTACAGTCGTGATTGGCGGGCAAGACAGCATCGTTGACCCCGCCCCCTCTTCCCTTTGCCGCGCTGGCTATCTCAGATTTTACCCAAAGGTGGAGAGTGGGATCCGGACGGGTGGCGCTTGGAGCAGGTGAAGAAGCATCGTTGTTCCAGCTGTGACTTCTGTCCTTTCTCCAGTCGTGAGTCGGAGTCAAGAAAAGACAAGCATTCTTCTTTTGCGGCTAGGGCTCCAGTGAACTGTTGCCCAGAACCTAGGCACTTCGGACATTTCATCTCACTCCTTATTCCGCTTTCACTGTATAAATCATCTTCACACTTGTAACCCTGTGAATCTCCGGTCTGCTCAATGCTCAGAGAAGGGGTCAAACGGGAATTTCACGTGTTTGAAAGAGAGGATCGTCACGGACTGCAGGGAGCTGTCTAAGGTGCTGAAGCTTTCCAGGCGTCTGTCTCCATCACCACACGGAGTAGATTGCACATTTTCATTCCTGGCTTTCTCCTTCCCCATGCCTTGGATAAGACTAATTTCAGGATCGTGAATATCTCGTCGTATCATGGCCCACGTGAGACATTTTCGAACATTAGTTTCGGGATTTTACTTCTGGGAAGCAGCACTGCTACTCAGGTGAGTCCACTTGTGTTTAACAGAGAACTCATTAAAGCCTGTGTACTAGCTTGCAACCACTGGTTATTGATGAAGCCAAGAATGCAATTAGAAATTGATTTGTTGAAAGTATCCCTTAAATCGTATTGTTTTCTGTCTAAACCCATCTATCAGGGTATTTTTTTGAGACCTCTGAAAACACGTAACTTTGCTCTATTTTCACTAATTAGTGCATTTTAGTAGCTGGCATTTCATATTATTTGCAGCTGAGAATTACCCGAGAAAAATTATTTCCAAAGCCTAGATTTCCTTTCTCAAGTTGCTTTTAGAGTTTTATTTTTCTAAGTGAATTATAAATTCTGGGTGTTATTCTCTTTTTGAAAGTTACAAAGCATTTAGTAATTAGAAATGGAGCATTATTAACTTTTTAAAAGGCAAAAACTCTAGAACATACGCATGTACTGATCAGAGAAATTCTGAACATTGTTTACATATCCAGAATTTAAGTTAAATAAATATGAAAATAAAGGCCTTGGAAGTACTTAGTTCAGGTAATACATGGAGGGAAAATAATAAATAAATCATTAGATACATTCTATGTCAAGAATAATCCTTTTGGAGAAAGTAAAATTATATGAAACCTATTGAAGAATAAAATTGTTCTGTGACATGTCATTTCTTTATCATGTTGAGTCATATTTGGTAGACTTGTTTTTTTCTTTTTGATTAATTTAAAGAAGAGAAGACAGACTAGGCAAAAGATCAGAAAATTTAACCCCTATTCTTAACCAAACAAAGTATAAGCAAAATTCTGCTCATATAGATTTTTGAGCCACAAAGTAAATTTTATGTCACTATTATAATTACCTTAAAGTTTCCATTTTTATGGCTCACAAGCTTTTCAAGAGGATTGAAATCAAATAAGTAGAGTAAGTTATAAGAATGTTGACTTCTATTTGAAGTATACAAACATTCTTTTCTGGGTTGCTAGGTCAGTTTTTCATCTTTAGACGTGCTAAACATAGCATATCTCATAAAAACTCACTTACAGAAAGTTATATTATTTTGATATGCCTGTATTAACAGGAACTAGTTGTGAAGATTATTACATTTCTGAAATTATTGATTTTTTTCTGAAGGGATTGAACTATTATAAACCAGAATATTTTCAGTGAAAAGTATTTTAATATGACAGTAAATTTTTATAACTTTGTAATTGTCACAAATTTTACATGTAGTGATCAAAAGAAAGAGTTAAGAGCTTTTATAGTTGCGAAAATTTCATTAAAAGGAGAAAAAAATTCATGTTATAAGAGAATTTGACCACTTTACTGTAATTATTTCTTAGTATCTTAGATGATAACATACATATTTATTTTTAAAAGATATCAAAATAGCTTCGTTGACAGACACTTAGTTTTAGGAAGTTTAATATCAGTAGCTGAGACATTTTGGTCAATGAAGTCAAGTTTGTGTAATGACAATTTACCATGATATTTGCTATAATCTTAGATATATAATATAATCTTAGATAGATTATGTAATCTTCACCACTCAATCCTCTGATTTTTATGTAATTTTATTGAAATTCACAAAAATTTTATTTCAAATTGATGATCATAATTATAAGAATTTACCTTCATTAATATTAAATAACTTTAGTTAAAAATGCATTTTATGAATAATCCAAAAATTTAATCCCTTAAACAACACATACCCAATATAGAAGTTTGTGCGATACATATCTCCTTCACTGTCAAGTTTAGCTTTCTTCTTTCATAAATCGAGTAAGACTTTTCTCTATCTTAGGCTAGTCTTAGATGAGAGTAACTCATCACTTGATGAAGAACTTAATCGTATGTAAAGAAATTAAATATTTTTATTTTCGATGATGGCCCTTGAAAGACAATTTTCTACAGTAAAGAAAGTGAAGCTCCCTCTACTGGAAATATTTGGTAAAATAAATATCTTTATGAAAACTATTCTTTACTTACTAAGTCTATTTGTGATGTATTGAGCAAAAAGGAAATACGTAAAGTAAGAAATAAAGATAAAAAAGTATTTAGTGTTAATTGATAAATATATCTTTCTAATTTAAAAATATTATTTCTAAGGCAATTTGGAGTCAGGAACAGCAGTCAGAAACCATAGACATTTATAATTAATTTGCTAGTATAAGCTTTTTTTCATAGACTGTAAAGATTTAAAAATTTTTTATTGAGATACAACATGCAGAGAAAAGTGCACAAATAAGATTCCATATAAAGTTTTGCAAAGGTAACACACCCATGTAAAAAGCCCATGGATCAAAAAGTAGAATTGTCATGGATAAAGAGGGCAGATTAGTGGTTACCAGAAGGGAAGGGGTTTGGGGGCTGGGCAAAAAGGATAAAGGGGCACATATGTATGGTGATGCACAAAAATTAGACTACTGGGGATGAACAAGATGAAGCGTTTTCAGAAATTGATAAAGAATAATGTACACCCAAAACTATACAATGTTATAAACCATTATGATAGCAATAAAATTACTTGAAAAAAAAGAATTGTCAATATCATGGAAGCACTCACCCCACCCCCTCCCACCACCATTTCACTTTCCAGGCACTACTTTGCCCAAAGATAATCACTATCTTGACTTATAGAACAATAAATATCTTTTTCTTACTTCTGAACTTTAAGTACTCATTTGAGCGTACTTTATTTTTATGAACGTTATATTTATGTGATTTATCCATATCGTTGCCTGCAACAATAGCTTTTTAATTCTCATTGCTGTACGATATTCCATTATATGAAGACATCACAATTTATCCATTGTCCTGTTGAGGAATATTTGGGTATTTTTTATGTTTTGGCGATGCTGCTATGAACATCCTTGAACATGTCTTTTTGCAAATACACATGAATGCATGTAGATACACGCATTTGGAGACTGTGTGGATTGGGTCCAAGATTTTCTCTAGGAGAGGAATTGCTGAATCACAGAGTGTGTATGAGTATGTTTAGTCTTAGTAGATACTGCAAGTTTTCCAAAGTAGTAGGACCTATTTACACTCTTTGTAGCAATTTATGAGAGTTCTTGTTGCTTCTACTAGTACAAAATTTGATCAGTGTAATATCATTATGCAATTTCTAGCATTTTCTTAGACTATTATTGTAAGCCTGCAGATGATATTTTATTTCTCTTATCTTGGCATAATTTCTACTTTTTAGTAAGTGAGTTTTATTAAGGCAAAAACAGCAGAACAAAAATATTTACTACTATAACACAATTGGAAGATTTCATTATTAGAATATGTCAGGTACAAGAAATGTAAAGAGGAATTATTAAACACAAGTGAGAAAATTTCATAAACAGACATAAGAAATATGAATTTCTAAGTTTTTGAAAGTTTCACACTTTGCTCAGATGTTGCTGTTTTTTGAAACAATTCTTCCATGGCTTTTGGTTTCTAGTTCTCATATTAATAAAATAAAGAGCAAAACAGCAGTGTTCAGCTTTTTTTGAAATGAAGACAGGTGAGGATTATGAAGAGCTTGCAGAACAAATTCCAAAAGCAGGGGAACAAAACATTTTGTTTAAATCGATTATTTTCATAACATACAATTTTACTTTTCAGCTTTACAGTTTGATACCAACACAGACTTGCTACTTGAGCAAATTATGGTACACTGTGTCAAAAATTGAATGTGTGAATTTGAGACTACATGGTAATCACAAATAAAATGTTTTCTTGGTTTACTTCAAAGCCTAAGTAAAACATTTTGGCATAGAATTTCTGGATTTTGCCTTTGGTATGTTTTGGAGGATGAGGAAAATCCTTTTTAATGTTGGCTCCGTTTTCTTATGTAAGATATTGAAGAGAAAAATACTTAAAGGAATAAACTTACTATTAAGATGGTTGCTTATATGCAGCTACAGTAGCAGGATTCTATATAGCTTTTTAAAAATTATGCTACACATAATATGTGCTTCTTCCCTTTGTATCTATTAATAATCATACATTTTCCCAAGTATAGAAGAATTATGGCCCAGTTTTCTAGTCAATGCCTCAAGCAGTTTGCCCTGGAGATTCAGAAAACAACTTACAAAATATTTCCTCTTCTGTATTATTCTCTCCCTTAACCACACAACTATGCACTGAAGTGAGTCAATCAACAAATATATGTTTAATGTACAATGTTGAGCAATTCAAGAAGATTTCTTCACCAAATTCTATGCACAGCCTTTTGTGCTAGGTACAATTTGGCTATGGATGATTGGGAAACTACCACCTTTCCCATTATGGAACTTAAAATCCAGCAGGGGAGAAAATACAGAGGGCCAAGTGACAAAAGGAAAACACAAACAGTAATGTTGTAGGGAATGTGGGATAGGGAAGCAATCCAGAAGGCTTGGTCTTTTGCTGGATCTTGTAAGATGCTTGTTGAGAAGAAATGAGATATAAAGAAAATAGTCTATGCAAAAAGAATGGTATAGGCATAGAGTATATGTAAGGAATGGTGATGGTCAAATTCAGTTGAAGGAATTCCAACTTGCTGTTTTAAATCATATTCTACTACCAACAACTATTGACCAGCTACAATAATCAACCTGCAGAAATATGAAGGAGTGACAGCTTCCTTTCACAATGGAACACTAATAAAATTTAGAAGTAAATAATTTAATTATTACTGGAGAGTTGTCATTTACAGGAATGGTCTTGTAACTTGGCTCAAAATACCTCTATAGATCCCTCTCTTTCAGAAGTAGAGTTTACCTCAAAATTAAAATTAATCATAGATCACTAATATAATTAGGGATAGTAAGAACTATGTAAACAAACAATAATAAGAAAACTATAAGAAGAAAAAGATAATCTGCTTGTTTTACAATTTGGCGACCATGTTGAACTTTTCGTCAAAATATGATCTCGTTAAAGGAAGGAAATCAGGTAGAGGATTTAGATTGTTGGAAGAAAAGAGGGCACTGAACTTTGTTTGGGGGGTTTTGAGTTTGAGACGATAGCAGTAGATCT